TATTTCATATTCATATTCATATTCATATGTGTTTATATTACTTTAACGAAAAACGTCTTTGCCATATAATTTTTTTATCTTTTTGAATAAAATTGGATAACATGTAAATTTAAGCCATTCTTTTTCTTTTAATTGTCCTAGGCATTACTCTGATGACCCCGTGTATTATCCTTGTTTAATATTAGATAAAAACGAAGGTAAAACGATACATGAAGGGCAGTTGGATAACGTTTTTGAATACAGCCTTAATGGTATCGATACTACCAATAAAAATTTCGATGAAAAAAGTAACTTAAAAGTAACTTAAAGTTACTTTTTCAGTAACTGTAACTGTAACGAATTACTTTTCAGAGTCAATAACTTGTAACGGTAATTAATTACTTTTTGAAAGAGAAAAACTGTAACTGTAATTAATTACTTTTACAAAGTAACTTTCCCATCCCTGCATAGATCTCCTAAAGTGACACCCCCTTATTTTTCAGAAACTAACTATTACACTTTATTAATACTAATAAAATCATGATCTATTAGCTAATTAAAGAAGTACAAACCCATAATTCATATATTTTTGGCTTATTTCTATACCAAATCAGCTAAAAACAAATCCTGTGAATCCGGGAAGAAAATTCTCACGGTGCTCTTTTGCAAATTGCGTAATTGAAATAATAGTGACTGTATTATTGATAATATTATGTCATTTTAAATGTTTATAGTTTCACAAATTAGTTTTCTTTACATAATAGGATATATCTTTATTTATGGAATAGGAATGTTGGCATTATTGCCTACTATGTCAGTTTTGGAGCCCATTTTGTCAGACGCTCATTTTTTAATAACTTATGAAAAACTTAATTATTGCAAAATTGCAAACAGTATTATACACTTTTTACTTTGTATTTATGTTTTTGATTCAGAACATTCAGAAGTTTGTAAATGCTGAGATACCTAAATCTTCACATCGCATACAAAATCAAATAAGTTAATTATGATACTAACATGCAAAATTATTTATATCTTAAGAAAGATTGAATTTTCGATCTTTGTTCACTAAAGTTTTTTTAGTCCGTATAATGTGTATTACTTATCGTATGATATATTTTTTAACACCCTGTACATATATAGTTCCATTAATAATACATAGCAACTGAAAATGAATAATAATTAGTCATTTATAATTATAGTAGTAATAATCATAATTATAATAACAAGTTATAACAAACTATAGTTATAAAATAAAATATCAAAAAATTTTCTCCCAGTGTGAACAACCGAGAAACTAGCAACTCTCATGAAACGAACTTTAGAAAAGCGAATAGATAAAGGCTTGATCTACATTTAGTTGCAAGAGTGAACTTTAGAGGTAGTTAAAAGTACAGAAATTTGAATATTAAAAAGTTACGAACGGGGATGACACATAAAGCACTTTTAATGAAAATCTCTGCAACACGACGTTATTATCGTCCTACATTCCCCGCTGTAATTCCTGTAATAATTACTGAGCGTGTGAGCGGTCAATTTGCTACATCTGTTTAATCCAATATCAAATCCATAGAAAAACGGTAATTATATCTCGTAATTCGAAGCGCTGTATCCGTAAAACAAAATTATTGAGAAACATCGTTAAAATTATTTCTTTTCCCCCTCCTATTATTTAGAATTATTTCAATTCTCCGGAAAGAAAAGACATTGCGATTACACCATCTATCTTGCATAAATAAAAAAAGGGGGTAGAATTAACATTTTTGTCTCTAAATGAAAAAGGAACGACAGAACACTTCTTTCTAATAGAATAGTAATGGAATGATACACACCTGAAGCTAATCTGGTTTTACCTAACCGTGCTACATCGGAGAAAAGAAATCTCTGACCAGACAAGCGAGAAAATTACGTTCCATCTGCGAAAACATCGAGCGAGAAACCACGATTTTAAATTGAACGAATCGCAATGGCTCTCGCGCTCAAACAATCGATAAGTAATCAACGTGTGCCGGTCCTCTTTTCTACCTTCTTTCAGTCCACATTTCCTACCTAATACCGTAACCTGATTTATATTGATGGCAAATAAAAAGCCGGAAGTAACTGGATTTGTTATCGCCGCGGTGAAAAGTATGTAGTTGAAGTTGTTAAGTGCATCTATCTGTAAGATAATATTGTATTCGCGAATTGTGTATATAACATATTTTCTACCCTTTGAAACAGTGTACAAATTAAATCTCCACTCTAAATTATACTGAAAATGCATGTATAAATATAGTGTATCTTAATCTAATTGAAAAAATATGAGACAGTATTATTTATTAGTACTTATGTATCATAAGCTTCTACTTATAATACAGAAAAAAGTAACTGTATATACTATATAAGATTATAAAAATATTTTAAAAAATAGTAAAGACAAACGATTTTTTTCCCGATTTCTTACAAAATATCTTCGCTAATGTTAGATTGACTATTGAAGTTGGAGCAAATGGCTCCATGGAAGTTAAAGCAAACGGAGAAGAGATTTTGGAAACTTTTCGCTTAGAAATTATATTTTATAACAATCTTATACCGATTTAGAAATTAGGTTGTCGGTTGTCAGATCTATGAAATGTCACATCTTTGAAATACACGTTACCGCAACAACCAAAAATATCCGAACGTCAGAAAAATTGGCATTAAATGTCTTTATCTTCTCTAAATTATGACAAGGCAAATTGATGCCTGAAGGCTTTGATTAATTAATGTCTTGATTGATTAATATTTTCTAAATTATGATTAATTGTTTTCTTTTCCTGGATATACTCGAACGTATCAGGCTATTAATCCCATTGTTCTATCTTTTTTACATCACATAACTAAAGTTACGTGACAAACATCGGCATGTATTTTTGTCATACACTGGCGGAAGTAATTATCGCTTGATGAACACGCTTGATTGAACAAAGACGTAACAGAAGTAGTTGTCTTCTAGAAAGTACGTTGATCCACAGATCCGTCTCGCGAAAAGAGGAAAGGGCACGAAGCCTCCAATGAAATATTACCGGTGACTAAGGGCGTTTAAAGGGGTAAACAAACGAATTTACGATTCGCCGTTAAATCCCGTGAAGAATACGTCTGCCCGTGGGAAAGTCGGGGCTTGGCTGCACGTTAAGGTATGTTTCGCGAGAGCGACGCGATGAGTTCGCATATCGTCGGCTTCAAGTTCCATTTCGTAAAATATTTCTACCCTACGTCACAGCACCAGTGAACGTTGCAACGACGACGTGCTCATCCCAATAAAGCGTTACGAAAATTGTACACTTCGTGTAGTTCAGGTGTGTGCGTGCGTGCGTGCGTGCGAGCGCACGCGTGTGTGTGTGTGTGTGTGTGTGTGTGTGTGTGTGTGTGTGTGTGTGTGTGTGTGTGTGTGTGTGTGTGTGTGTTCAGCAGGTTCCACTTCCATTTTCACAGACTCGCAAACGAGAAATGTCAGCGCACTTATTCGCGTGTACCACGAAATTTCGTACGCGAAGCGTTCCATAGCGCTCGGTTACGCTTTGTTGATTTTATACTTCGTTAGAAT